CCTCGGCGCGCAGATGTGCTGCGCAGGCCGGAGGTCAGGGCAGACGTGGGCGGGGTTTGCTTAGAGCCCCTCTCCTGTCCCTGCAGAGTTAGCATCGGGCCAGGGATGTGGGTTCTGATCCCCGCTCTTCAGCTGTAAATGGAGAGTTAAATTCCTGTCGTAGAGCGTTGTAGAGACTAGAGGAGGCAGGTTCATCTCCCTGCTTTGCAAAGCTGCACGCGGTTCCTAATCCAGTAAGGAGACCTGGTCACTTGGTACTAGATACCGCGGTTTGTGCCCCTGGAGCAGGAGCTCTCTGGCCGCGGGGGACTGTGATCAGGGCCTGGGCAGGGCCAGAGCGGTGGCAGGAGCCTGCCCTGGGCTTTACAGCCTCCTGAAGCTGGATTGGTTGGGGGGGGGGGCAGGTTGGAGGGGTGCACCTCCAGGCAGGGTCCGATGGCCAGGTGACGGGTCTGCATGGGGAGTGCACCTGTTGGAGCCAGCAGGAGACCCCTGGCCTGAGAGGAGCTGACTGGTGGCCAGGCGACCACACTTGACCCTTGGGGCTCCTCCCAGGCCAGTGTCAGGAAGCTCTGGCTCTAATGAACAGGGACTGAAGGGGGGGGGGGCAGGAGGAAGGAACCCGGGGTGACCCACAGGCTCGGCTCCGGAAAAGATGGGACTCTGGAGGGAGACACCATTTTCAGGGTTGACGTCGAGCCATTGATCTGGGCAGGCAGGTGAGATGTGTCCAGGGGAAGCCATCCTGTGCCCGACTTCCACTAAGAGGCCTTCCAGGACGGCTGGGGCCCCCTCTGGGCCCCTCGTCCCTGGTTTCACACCATCCACACCCATCACTCCGTGTGGCCGTGGTCCCGCTTCTCTTCTCATTCCTGTTCGGGCTCCTCAAGAGTCTCTGAGCTCCTGCAGGGCAGGTGGGTCTCAGTCACCTCTGTCCTCCAGCCTCACCCAGCCCCGCGCGGGGCACCAGGCAGGAGCTGAGCCAGGGCTCGGCAAGATGGGGGAGGGGGTTTAGTGCCTTGGAAGGAACCCGGCTTGCACTCTGCATCCCCTTGGGCTTATCTTGGCACCCCGACACCTCTCTTCTATCTAGGGGCTCCCTCTGCAGCCTCCCTCGCCACCCTCACCGGGTTCCGATGTGCTGGGCCCCTGGCCCCTGCCTCTCCCTCCCGAGTCTCTGATCCGGGGTTCCGTTCTGAGTCCCGTCATTTTTGGCTCAGGATCCTGCTTAACCGGAGAAGAGAGATGGAGCCAGACAGACCGGGCGCAAATCCCAGCTACACCCAAGAGCCTTTGGGTGGAGGAAACACCAACCAGGGTCACACTGGCTTTATTATTACTTTAATGTGTTTTTATTGACTTCAGAGAGGAAGGGAGAGGGAGAGAGCGGTAGAGACCTCAATGATGAGAGAATCATGGATCGGCTGCCTCCTGCACACCCCCTACTGGGGACCAAGCCCACAACCCGGGCCTGTGCCCCTGACCGGGAATGGAACCGTGACCTGGTTCCTAGGTCGATGCTCAACCACTGAGCCATGTCTGCCGGGCCATTCTAGCTTTAGAAAGAGGAGGATTTATTGGCTGAAGGAACAGGGAAATGCAGGCATGGACCTGCTTCGGGCCCGGTTGGAGAGAGGCCTCAAAGGGGGCTGGGTTGGGTCATCTCCCAGACCCCCTCGGGGTCCTGCTCACCTCAGGCAGGCGGCTTTGTCCGCACACTAAACGGAAACCTCCGGGCTCGGGGGACGCGGGGCGGGTGAGCCGGAAGCAGGAGCATTGAAGCCTCATGTCATGATGCTTGGTTTTTGCCACAAGAGGGCAGCCCGAGCTCAACCCTCACGCCCCAGAAAGCAGGCAGCTCCGCTGCTCCGTTCCTCTGGCCGAAGTCACAGTCCACGTTAGAAACCATGTGTGGGCCCCTTCGCCACGTGCAGTTCAGAATAAAGAGAGACAAGCCCACATCAGTGTCACCAAATGCCCCCGGGACGTGGCCGGGCGGCAGGAGGGCACCCACGGGCTGTGCTCCCGTGAGGAGGGGAGGCTGAGATGAGGTCCCGCCCCCAGGAGGGCCAGGGCCTCCACTGGCTGTGGCCTGGGCAAGTCACTGCCCCCTCTGGTTCCCTCACTCCCAACCTGCCTGGGAGAGGATGCGAAGACAATGAGGGTTACCCCAAGGGCAGCCTGGGGTGGGGTGCCCCTGGGCTGTGAAGACTCCCCCCCCCCACACTCCCATCCCACCCCAGCTTCCAACCCTTGAACAACAGGAGGCGCAAGGTCCCTGGGAAAATACAATTTGCAAGGCCAGTGGACACACAGCACGCGCCTTGGCCTTTAACAAGGATTAGAAGGAGATTCTGAATCATCTTTACATACAGTCACATCCCCTCTTCCTGTGACGCCGCTGGTCACAGGGCTCTGTTTAAAGCTGCAGACCACCCCTCGGGCCTGTCGGTGTGGCTCCTGCCAGCGGCGGCTCTGCAGCTGGGCCCGGCCGGCTCACTGCAGGAGGTGGACAGCGGCTGCCTTGCGCATGAGCCGCTCCGTCAGGGGCGAGTTGGGCTTCAAGGCGTCTCGCTCCATCAGAAGGCTTCTGCTGACACAGAGACGGGGCTGTTGGTGGAACCTTCTAGAAGGAGGTGGGGGCCCGATGGGTCGCTCAGCCCTGAGGCAGGACCCAGGCAGCTGGGCTGGGAATGAGGTGGTCCGAGAGCAAGAAGCCCCCCTTCCCAGGCTGCGGGAGGGGACAACCTCAAGTTCTGGGCAGCCGGGGCCTGGGCCTGCCTGCCCTCCGCCTCCTGGCACCAGCCCAGTCAGAAAGGAGAACGGCACCGAGGCCTGAAGGGTTGGTAGGGGGCATCAGGTGGCAGAGGTCGGTATCCGAGGCGGAGGGCACACACGTGCAAAGGCCCAGGGGCCTGGGAGGCAGCAGTGTCTGGGCAACTAGCTCAGCGTGGCCGGAGTGAGGAGGGGCTGTGCCCTTCAAGCTGACACGGCAACAGGGAGGACCAAGCAGCGGAGCCTGGTGTCTGCATAACCTCAAAGCTGGGAACCGCCCCGGCCCAGGGAGGTGGGGCCGCTGAGCATCCGGACGCCCTGGGGAGGCCCCGTGTGAAAGCCGTGACCTGAGACCCGGCCACCCGGGGCGCAGGCGAGGAACTCACCGGGCCACGTTCCTGTGGGGGCCCGAGGTGCACTGCAGGGCCGCGTGGATCAGCAGCTGGCTGAAGACGTCTCTCTGCAAGGTCACGGGCAGGTCAGGCTCCCGGACGTGGTGAGGGAGGGCACCCCCCTCCGGAAGGC